CATTCTGTCTCTCGTTTTCTTTTTCTCTTTTCGTTTTAATCACTTTCCACACTCTCTTTCATTCTTTTTTTATTTTGCGCATTTTATTTTTTCTCTTTCTTTCAGTCTCCCCTTTTCTCTCTCCACTTTTCTACTTCCTCACCTTTTATTTCCCTTTCTTTCTCTTCCCGCACTTTTTTTTAATAATATTTTTCTCTTTTTCTCGCTTTCCTTTTTCTTCTCTCTCATCAGCTCTCCCTTTCACTCTCGTTCTCGCCATTTTTTTCTCTCTCCCCCATTTCTTTCTCTTTCTCTTCTTTTCTTTCTTCAAGATCAACTTTCTTTCTCCCCCGCCATCCTTGCTGCCCTAATTTCTCGCATTTAAGCTTCTTTTTATCATCAACTGCAATCGTGATTTGCAAACCCCGTTGGCGATTGCATTGTGGAGGGCCTCGAGACATGCCCAGAAGTTTTAAAAACGCATTTCAAGGAAATATTATTTGGGGATTTTCGAGGTTGGCATCAGTTTTGACATTTTAATTAAAAGAAGATTGAAATTTATGACAGAACTTTTGAAATTAAATGAAGAAAGAAAGAAAGAAATAAAGAAAGAGGAGAGAAGTGAGGGAAAGGGAGAGGGTGGAAAAAGATAGAAAAAGAGAAAGAAGAATTAAAGAAGGAGAAGTTCAAACATTTTTACGTGTGTGCCAATGCTTATTTATAAGCGTTTCAACTTCAAATCTCAGATTTGAGACTTACGTGGGTTTACTAAACGCTATACACGCGCATACACACATAGATACTCACACAAACACAAATACACACACGCACGCACGCATGCGGATACACACATAGATACCCACCCACACACAGAAACACACACATACTAATACACACATAGATACTCAGGCAAGTACACAATAGATACGTAGATACTTACACACAAAATACGCACACACATGCGCATGCACACACCCTTGCTTAATATTTCATATTATCGACATGGAAAACACACACTGGCGTGCAAATCATTTGGCCCAACATGATAAATCAATTACTTTTGTTAATTTTACCCCCAAGTAATTAGCAATATGCTTTTCTCGGGACATTTTATGATCTTTGAGGGCCAGATGACAAGCCACTGAATTTTCATTAATGCTATACGCTGAATTATAGAATATCTTCAGCAGAACAATGCTGAAAAAAAAAAATGAAAAAAAAAAACCTGTGCCACCAGCGAAAATTTCACCTTTTGGCAATTTTCTTAAGTTAAAAGGATTTTTTTTCTACTAAAAGTGATCTTTATTATTACAGAAAGACAAAGTATGGATCTAGTAATTAATATTACTGCTTGTGGCGCCGATATATTTCTCAATTCGATGTGGCATTGAATGGAACAAGGTCCAGAATTTTTGTTTTGGGGAATATTTTCCAATTCTTCTTGGCAATAATCCCAAACCACTTGGAGATTGCATGGTTGGTTCAGTTATATTGAGCCCAAGACTTTGTGCTGGCCAGTCTTCTAAAAGCTGAACATCTTTATCCACATGAAACCATTTTGTCGCGCTTAATGTATAGCAAAGAGCACCGTCATGCTGGTAAACTTCTTCCTCTTCATAGGTTGACAGAAGATTAGACCGGAGTAAACTAATCTAGTTTTATCTATTTAGGTTTCCATCAACTTTTACCAATTTTCTTCTACCATTAATCTTTGTTGCAATCTCACAATTCTGTGCCCACCTCGAAATCTTTCCATCTTTATGGTGCATCTTGCGTTGTTTTTTTTTTCTCTCTCACTGGTCTTCTTGCCTATTCTCTTGCATTAGAAAGCATTTTGTGTGGTTCGAGTACTGTTTCCGGAAATTCTCAGCCTTCTCTCTCTCTCTCTCTCTCACACACACACACACACTCTCCCTCTCTCTCGTTGAGTCATATTCCCTTCAAAGTCACAAACCTTCATCTTTGTTTCTGCGGAAAATTATAGCCATGCTTCAACTGCAATGACTTGCCAAAGCACTTTACGCTCATATTAATAAGATGGATTCTTACTTAGAAATTTGCATATTATCATGACTTTATCGTTTCAGATCTTTCATTGACCCAATAATTTTGCATGACTTTTTACAGCTTCAAACTTTGGCGTACCTTCTGTTACCTGGCACCTACGAAAACGTAACAACTTATTTTCCAAACCTCAACATTTACAGACACTGCTACTAAACAATCTTCTTGATAAAATCATGGTGTATAATCATTTTATGTAGTTGTACCAAAAAGTTTGAACGACAGTGTACAGTACCCAGCAAAAGAAATGAGCAAATAAGGGAAAGATTCAATTTGCTTAATTTTTATTAAGTTTTATTTCGTCTATATACATTCTGGAATATTGTCTGTTGTCATCGGGGATTGTAATGGAAGTTGTCGTATTTATATAACCACAATACGTCGGAATATACAGATCTACGTGTACCATAATACTGTAAGTAAGCCATGCAAATCTTATGAGCTACGTAACACCTTTCAAGTTTAAAATCATTAAATATTAAGCGACGCATGCAAATTTCTCATGGTAAATCATTAAAAACAGATTGCATAAAATCAAGAACCTGCCACTTGTATTTTTAATGAAGTTGATTTAAGTTTCAAAATGGGAAGTGCGAATTGAGAGGAAAAGATGGAAACGTATATAAAAATATATTAAAAAAAACTCTTCATTTTATACAATGTTATTTTTGGTCTATCTATAAAAGCAATTAATTCTAAATTTCCTCTGGAGATTCATAACTTTTGAATGCCTGTTTCTAGCATCACATTGCGTTCACTTGTGTATCTTTCCTCACACTGTGTTTAGGTGAATGCGACCCTCTCGCATTACAGTCCTTCATGTTCACAGTTACTACCAGTTAAATATAAAGGGTTTGCGTCAAATGCTGGAGGAACGGGAAATTCGGGGATGAATCAGAATCATGTAGACAACGGCATCATGATTCTATAGTCAGAATGTAATTGATAGAATAGTGAGAAGACTTGTTGTCACTTCATCTCAGGTGTAAACCGCTCGTTACAATTGGCGTGAATACTCAATGAGTGAATAATAATAAAAATATAACTCAACGTAATTTTATGTTTATTTTGTTTATTTTATTTATTTAATTTTCTGAAATATATATCATCATCATCAAAACTGTTTCGATTCGAGGTCATGAACTAACATGTCCTCTCATCTTAAGTGACATTGTTTACTGATTTGACAATATTTTGCGAGCCTTCTCTGTCCTCTGCGAGTTGGCGGATTCGTTGCAGATCTTCCTTGATTGTAAACTTCTCCAAAGGAAAAATGGGATCTTTCTGCCTTGTTCTTTGAATGTCTCGGTTCAGCGTTGTGACTACGGTGGTTCTTGGATAACCTCTGAACTTTTTGAAATCAGTCTTTTCAAAGTAAAACTCCATGGCTTTGTTAGCTGGGAATTCTGGATGCATTGCGTTTGTTGATATTCGTATGTTTGTTTTTTCTTGAACAGTGAGCTCTATTACAGACACACTGTCTGATATTTTCCAACATCGATGCACATTATTCTTCCATTTACCGTTTGACAACAATTCCGTTGCCATAATTCTGGCATTCTGTCGCTGAAAATATCAAATGGCGTTTGTTTTTGCCGATGTTGCTGTTCAGACCCAATCCAATTATTCATTTTCTGTTATTTATTATTTCATTTTTTGTCTTTCTCAGTATGCAACATCTTAAATAAGTAGCTATTACATACTCGTCTATGGATATTTATTTCAATGTAAATATGACTCAATGTAAATACCCAATTGATTTTAATTTAAATCTATGTGACTATAAATCATAATATATTTAAATTCTTACTATTAGAAAAACTATAATTATAATGAAAGGTATTATTTTTCTTAAAAAAGTATTTGATATATACATAATTTGCTCATTACCGCAGATTTTATTTTAAATTAATCATATTTTAATTTTAAAGACATGTATTTTTTATATATATTATAGCATTCAGAAGTTATCGATGGATTATTGCTATCATTATCATTGCCGTTATTATTGAACTGCATATTGATTGATATTTACTGGAATAATTGCATTGTTATTATTTAATTTTTTTAACTGTTTCTCTTAACGGCGTCTTTATTTTTTGAATTACAAAAGCGTTTCCTCCTCATAGCAGTCATTGAAGCAAATTGCTGAAAGATACGAGACAGATACTGCTGGCAGGAAGACGAATGCAATAATAATAATAATAATAATAATAATAATAATAATAATGGTAATGATGATAATAATATATCATTTGTATATATATGTATGTGTACTTGTATATGTGTGCATGTGCATATATGAATATACTGATTAGTATAAAGCATCAAATTAAATTTCAGATAAATAATATTTTAACTTTAGAGACGTGTTATTACGTTATATTTATATTATTTGTTGATATACCTAATATGTAATCGGTACCTATTAGTTTTATTAATTTTTGACGCAAATCTTAATATTTTTTACCTGATTAGGGCAGAACATTGCAGAATATAGACTTTTATTGCTGACAAGACTTGCCGTGACCCATTGGGTCACTGACGGTTCAAGTTGTAAAACATTGAAGCTGATTTCAACATAAAAAAATTTATCTGTTTGAAGAAAGTTTAAATAAAAATATTTACTCGTATTTTTAAATCTTATTCATTTACAATAATTTAAAAAAAATCAGATTAACTTAAAAATATTTTTAATATACCAAAAATATTTTAAATTCATACTCACTTGAAAATATTTTTAAATATGATTATATATATATATATATATATATATATATATATATATTTTTATATATTATTTTCTGTTTTTTTAATATTTAAAATATTGCTTATTTAAAGAAAGCTAAAATATAAATAAGCACACACGCAATCACAGAGAGGTACAAAGAGAGAGGTGGAAAGAGAGAGAGGTACAAAGACAGGTGGAAAGAAACTTAAATCGACGTACGCACGATTCACAAACAATTAGTATTAGATAGATAGATAGATAGATAGATAGATAGATAGATAGGAAGGAAGAATGAAGAAAAAGAAAGAAAGAGGAATGAAATAGTTGTGATAGTGGTGATGGTGGTGGTGGTGATGATGGTAGTGGTGATGATGGTGGTGATAAGAAATTGGCGATTATTTCTGAATGTTCTTTTATTATTTATTTATTAGTAATTTATATACAATTTTTATTATATAAGCCATGCATTACAAACACTTAAAATAAACTTTTCTTTAAATATTATTAATAATTATATATTAATTGTATTTATGGATAAAACATATTCGTGTAATAACAGGATTAGGGAGATTTGAATATAGTTTCGTATTAGTGAACACAAGAGAGAAAAATCAAAGAAAATCTCATTGAAGGTTAGGGTCGGAGTCTTGTGAAGCACGTCGTATCTCTCTGGGATCCAAATGCTTATTAATGAATATTTTACCACTGTTGTTCATAATACCAAATGGGTACCTCCATGAGATTGCTAAAAAAGAGCATAGCATGATGAAAAAAACGTCAAACTTGATGAAAACAAAATTTTATCGTCTAAATGTTTATGTTATTATGAAGAGGAAAGCCCAAAGCTTTTTTTAAATTATTTTAAAAACTTTTCCTTCTTTTTAGAACATTCTAAATTTTGATTAAAAAAAACTTGTTTCTCTTTGTATCACTGGAACTAGTAAAATAACATATACAATTTTTAGCACGTGTTTTTTTGTATGACACACATTAATTGGGAAAATCTTGCAAAAATAAAAATAATTGTCGAATATTAATGAAACTTTCAGAAACTATTCATAGATGATGGAGATTATTATAAATATGTTTTTTTTATTAAAGTCCTGGCAAAAATATTTTTTATATTTATTACCCACCCCATACATAATTTTATGAAAACTCTAGAAATTCGATCGAATCTAGTTTAGTGAGTACAATAGGCTTTGAGGAATGCAAATCATGTTTTTTTTTTAATTGGACCCCCCCTACTTGAAAATCAGCTCTGAATTGTAACATATAAAACTCAATACAAATCAAAGATATATATTAATTTCAAATGCTTTTATTTGCTTTTAGTTGTTTTTATGAATATGGACACTATTTTCTGAAAGCAAAAGAATTTTTCGATAAAAAATGAATTTTTAATACAATTATTTGTTATTTCTTTAATTATAATAGAATTTTACATTTAAGTTGTTAAAATATTATAAAATTAGTTAAAAGCCGCATTGGGTTTCCTAAGTGTCCTCATGAGATAGATCTTTTTTTAGCGCATTGTAAATTGTATCATTTTGACTAATCAGAAGATTCGTAGTAATTAAGAAATGTAATTTTGTGTTTATAATCGGGCTGTAATTATAAAGTACGGAAGACCAACCAGAATACAATTAAGTTTCGTTATTTGAGTCAAGCATTGTTCTCCGCTGTTAAGGCCTTTACTTTTGCGAAACACGTGTGGAGAAGTTAATTTGATTTTTCAATTTAAACTGAGAAGGGTACCTACAAGTATCAGTATCATCTTATGAAATTTAACTACTGCTAAACTTTAATTTATATGATCTTATTTTTATATTAATCTCAGTTATGACATTTTTCCATAAATGAAATATCAAAATTAATAATAAAATGAAAGGAAATACAAATAACACAGTAAAATGTAATAAATGTACATAAAATTATAATATTTTATGTACACTTCTGATAAAATTTCATAAGAAAGATATCTAATTAATTTATAGGTACCTTTCTTATGAAATTTAATCTCACTCTTAATAGTCTTATTTTTTTAATTTCTGTATAATATATTTTCCATAAAGCAGCGTAAACTTAAAGGTGAAAGCTAAGTACAAAAAAAAAAAAAATAAAATTAGAGAGCTGAAAGTTTTCCTTAAAAATAACGAGGTAAATAATTTGTTCACTTAAATCTAAATAACTTCACTTCTCTCCATCCGTAGAAAGAATAATCCTCACGTAAGCTATCTAAACATCTGTCAAGTGACGTGAAAGTTTATGACCTGCTTTGTTTTATTTTCAAATTACATTTTTTCGGCGCAGAAGCTAAGTTAAGCTTGGTTCAAAATATTTGAAATAAACATTATAATTACTGATTTTCTTAAAATAAGTTTTGAAAAAATGATAATTGATTTTTAAAAGAATTTCTAAGTGAGATTTTAATTTTTTTTTAAAATGGAAAAAAAGGGTTGCCATGATTGATTATCTGCCAATTTTGACGACTCAAAAAAAAAAAGAAAAAAAGAAGAACGATTAAAAATGTAAAAATACCCCCAAAATACTTTGATCTTTCCTCTTAATAATAACATGAACATTTAGACGATAAAATCTTGTTTTCGTCAAGTTTGGCGTCTTTTTCATCATGCTATGCTCTTTTTTAGCGATCTCATGGAGTTAACTAAGTAAATGAAACAAAAACTCCTCCCATAATCTGAATATAGCCCCCCCCCACAATCTCATGGGCAGGACGAGAGCGCTTTGTTCTTGGCGACAGTTGTTTTAGAGTTGGTAACTTGAACAAAATTACCCTTTGTAGGTCAAGGATAAAATGCCAAAAATTTACTAATTTCATTGATTACGAACAAATCTTCATACAGGATCGTCCGTCACCCGGGTCAACAAAGGTCACGTACCTCAGAGAGGAATCAGCCTGGGACCAAAAAATTTATCACTGGAACAAACTCTTCCAGCAACGAAGAGACACCTGGTCACCAAACGCGGACTATTTCCAACTTTGGACCAAGTGACTCAATACCAAATCAACTAATAAAAAGAAAGAGAACGAAATGGTCACGCGAAGAGTATCAAGTGATGACATCCTTTTTCACCGCACTCAAAACCCCACAAAAGAACACCACGAATCAGACATACCAAATATGGAGAACTATGATAGGAAATGAAATCAAAACAAAAAAACATGCTTGCCAATGTTCGCAGAGACATCGTGCGAAAGAAAAGACTCTCAAATGCAGAAGCAGATAAAAATAAATATAAGACAGAATACAATAACCCATCACTTAAGCAGTAAAGAGATGAGAGTAGAAATAAATGATAGGATGAGGCAAAAACTAAAATAAATGAGATACGAAATAATAATCTTCCAGGAAATAAAACCGAAGAATCTATCTGTGGCATAGCCTGCAGCTATCCAGACGATGTCACTGAAGATGAGTCCAACTACATTAGGGTAAAATTCTTTGAAAACAACAGAGGTGAAATCATCGAAGCGAAAAACTGCATCATCCAAATACTCAGAAGAGTGGCTCTCACAAAAATGTCAGAAAGAGACCAGTTCCCAAAACTTCCTATGACAAAGTTCAATAAGCATATTGTGCAAATATAAAATTGTTAACGGACAAACCACTGGGAAACATCCCAGAAATTAACAATACCATATACACAAAAACTTTAGCAGCTACTGGGAAGCTTGGAGACAAGAAAATTAAAAGATCAAACAATTGACAAAGAATTTCAGGGAAAAGGCAAAACTGATGCGAGAAATAAAGGAAATCACTAGAAACACAAATCTCTCAACCCGCAAATGCAGGAAGATCAAGCCGAAATATAAAATGAAATCACTAAATGAAAATCCAACTATCAAGGAAATGCTAAAAGAGAAACTGCAGTTAAAGGAACAGAGAACAAGACGATAGGAAATTGTTGTATGTTCTATCGCCAAAAAAATATTCCAAAGAGGTCTTAAAAAATTTTACAGGGAAATTGAAAAATCAGTTATAGAAATCACAAATCCACTCTCTATTGAAGAAATAAAAAATTGAGAGAATATTTGGAGCACTCCGAAGGAATATAATCCCGATGCAGAATGGATCTAGAAGAAGAAAGAATGATCGACAGGCCTCTACAAGAATGGAAAAATATTACCACGAATATTGTTAAGCAAGCTCTGAGGAAATCCCCAAAATGTAAATCTCCAAGAAATGACTAGGTACCCAATTTCTGGCTCTATTAACTGTCATCAATCCATAAAACCCTTTCACAAATTCAATGAAGTCCCAGAATGGATCACTGAAGGTATTACATGTCTCCTACCAAAAACGAAAGAAATAGATGATCCGAAAAATTATAGGTCAATATCTGTCTGTCCTCGAAGAAAACAACATTCTTCCGCTGGAACAAAAGGGATGCAGGGGAGGTTCATATGGTTGTAAAGATCAACTAATGATAACCAAAATGATCCTGGACAATTGCAGGAGACGATGCAGAAATCTTAGCACAGTAACACCTTTGATAGTGTGCCACATTCTTGGATCCTTAAGGCTTTGGAAATGTGTAAAGTCCCATTGGTGATAGTAAATTTCCTTAAATACAGCATGGGAATGTGGAAAACCACACCAGAAGAACTTCAACCGCCTTAATATCCGACGAGGAATCTTTCAAAGAGACTCCCTGTCAACTCTTCTGTTTTGTCTGTCTTTAATCTCCCTCACGCATCAACAAAACAATAATAGCTATGGTTACAAACCAAACAGGAAAGTACTCAATCACCTACTCTACACAAATGATCTCAAACTCTTTGCCAAATACAATTAGTTGAACCGTCACCTTACTGGGTAAACTGTTTCATTGACAAAATAGGTATGGATTTCGGATAAGATAAATATGCAAAAGTAACATTAAAGAAAGGGAGACTTACAAAAACACACTCCATACATGTAGATTTTGTCACAAAGATTATGGAACTGGAAAAAGAAGAAGCCTATAGGTACCTATGAATTAGCGAAGGGGATGGAATACAGCATAACCAAATGAAGGAGTAGGTAAGAAAGGAGCACTACAGAGGTGAGTGCGTCGGGTACTGAATACTGAGCTGAATAAACCCCCCAACCCCCCAAAAAAAAACAAAACAAAAAATAACAAGAAACATAATATCAGCCATAAACACTTTGGCTGCCCCTGTGGTGCACTACAGCTTTAACATCCTTAATTGGTCCGTAGCTGACATTAAGCGCATGGACGCCAAAACGAGAACGCTTCTCATCTGCCACCACATGCATCATCCCAAGGCTGATGTTGATCGTCTGTATGTGCCCAGATTCGAAGGGTGCAGAGGATTAGTTCAACCAAAACTGTCTTACAAAACTACAACAATTGGCCTTTAAAGATACCAAGAAACTACAGAAGGCAGGATAAAATAAAATACATAGTCAAAATACATAGTAGGCGACTTTATTCCGTAATAAAGGAACCAACAAGTTCAAAATGGCGTTTCATATGGCTGAAGAAATACAAGTAAAGCATAATACACTGACTGAAGCTGTAAAATACTTAAAAAAGAAAGCAAAGGCAAATGCAACCGGCCAGATACAGAAACGATGGCAAGATAAACCACTTCATGGCCAATACTTTGCCCGTACCAAACAAGCTGATGTAGACAAACCCCGTACCCATCAGGTTAAAAGCTGAAACTGAAGGTCTTATTCTTGCTGCACAGGACCAATTCTTGCTAACTTTAAATTGCCAAGCACTCTTTAGTCCAAAATGCAGATTCAGTGATATATATATGTATATATATATCTAGAAACAATTGACCATTGGTGTTAAATGCACGAATCAAGTTGCGCAGTATTGTAACCCACTGAATATAAAACCCGGTATGACAGAGTGGGCCAAAATCTGCACTGGAAATTCTGCAACACTTACGGAAAGAAAAATGCAAGAAATTGGTATGAATATCTCCCAGACCCGGTTACAGAGATAGTACCTGTAACAATTTTATGGGTCTTTACAATACACAAAAATAATCAAATCTAATCGATCAGGCATTGTGATTAGAGACGGAAAAGAAAAAATGTCTCCTTATTGACATGGCAGTCCCTGTAGATTGTAATCTTTAAAAGTCTATCAAAATACAAGGACCTTGAAATCGAAATCTCGAAAGTGTGGCGCATGAAGACATTAAAAATTTCAGATTTAGTCGGAACCCTCGAATTGATTGGAAATAATTCCAATAAACTTAATGAAGGAATTCCTGGTAGTCCAACCTTTAAAGAAATGCAAAACATTGTACTCACAAGTACGGTCCACGCTTTATGAAGGGCGTTTATCTATGTAAAACCTGTGTGATGTTAGGTTGTTTTTTTTTCCTTAAATGGATCGATTAACGGCTGCAATCGATGGAAAGTATTCGGAACTGGCCAGTCGGAAGGGTGTCGTTTCTATCGAGACAATACCAGCCAACATGTTTCTCTTTTGGACCCCACAGAAATTGCTAGAGATTGAATGGGAACCCTACTATATCTGCCATACTCACCTAACCTTGCATCTTTAGATTCTCAATGCGAAGAACTCCAATTCTTGGGACGACGCCTGTAAAAAGCATTTGGAGATTTGGATCATGAAGTTATCGTGAAAACAACAAAAGGCAAGTGAAACAAAATGGTGCATATGTGGTTGAATCAATTCATGTACAAATATGTATATATTAGCTTTGAAATTCACTAACAAATGCTACGAAATTTTCTTCCGGCTCTGGGTTAATTCGAATAATTTATTTTGCCGGTTTTGGTAAAATAGACGTCAGGGTATTTCTCCAGTCGCGGTAAAATAGATACCAGAGGCAATTATGCCGGTTTCGGTAAAATCGACCCCAAGGCTATTTTGCCAGCGAGATCTTTGCTGATGTACCTAGACTATTTTGCCAGCGAGATCTTTGCTGATGTACCTAGACTATTTTGCCAGCGAGATCTTTGCTGATGTACCTAGACTATTTTGCCAGCGAGATCTTTGCTGATGTACCTGGACTTTTTGAATTTAAGCTCATTA